GTTAATTGCACAATTAACTTTGTGACAGAGAACTAGTTGAACATGGATCAAGGAAAGAAGGTGGAGTAGAAATAAAAAGCGAAGGCGTTAAAGAGGTGTTTGAGAAAACGATCTTCGGGTTCAGATTGTACGACTACTTCCACAGCACTCACCTCACCTTATTTCTACCTTCGTATCTGTCTCTTCTACATCTTTGAAACACTCTTCTGTCCCCCCCTCTCGACTTTTTTTTCACTTTGATGTTCCATCCCCTCTGTGAAGCCTGAAGTCAATTAAAGGGCTATTGATAACTTTCAAACCGTTTGCCGTTTGATATAAATAAATAAACTTTTGCAATACTTTTAAAGTTCATTGTTTAATGTTCTAGAGCTCCAGTGTCCCATTTTCTGGTTGCACCATGTTTCTCATAAAGGTTTTTTGACATGGCAACGGCTGGGCCTAATTTGAATGCTTTGACCCGGTTCATCATTTGCATCGGAAAGCATATGGCTAGAGGTTTTCCGATTTGTCCGAAAAACGAAAATTACAGAGTTACCAATGAGCACAACAACTCAATTGTTATTACTAAACAAAACACAAGCAAAATATACACTCCAGGCATTTCAAAAAAGGTTTAGAGAAAACAGCTCCAAGAAACAGCAAATAAATTCCTGTCCTGTCTTCGATATTCATGGAGTTTTCGTTTCCACTGTAACCCCTTAATTGATTAATTCGCACAATACCTAGAAGGCTCCACTGCGAAAGCGATTAAGAACGGGTGTTGATGCGATTGCATTGCATTATATTGTCCGATCCACAGGTACTTGGATAGACAAGCCTATGCAGTTGGTGCAAGAGAAAGTACAGTTTTGATCAAATAGCTGTTCTCAAAGAAGTCTAACATATGGACTTATTTGCCACACCTAAGATGAGATAAGAGAGGTCGATGACTGGGGCCGAGAAACATTTTGAACTTAACTTTCCCGAAACTAGCAGTTAATGCTTGGAAGTTGAGAATGATCGCTAAATGCATACAAACAAATGTAATTCATAAGAAGAAAAGTGGAATCAGGTCGATTTTTTGTATACTTGAATCTTTGCTGTTGCATTAAAATGCATATCTTCCGCTTGTTAAGTGACAATTTGTATTAACCTATTAGTCAGAAATCTCTGGATCACTCAGTAAACAGTTAAACATCCAAAATTTTGAATATTGGAATACTAGAATACGATGCAGAGCACCGTACCCAAGAAATAAATTAAAAAACCCTAATTAAAAGAGGTCAACATTTTTCCTTACCATTTCTGGTTTCCGTTCCATAGCCTGTGCGATAGACTTACCTCCATGTGGTTCACCCTAGGCAGCGTAGACTCATACGGCAGAAAAGTCTATTAACTGGCAGTTGACTTCTCACTTCAAACTACTATCACCTCACTCTATGCCATATTCGACTATTTTCACAGTACTCACCTCACCTTTTTCTACCTTTGTGTCTGTCTCTCTTCCGTCCCCTCCCCCTCTCGAATTTTTTTCCTCTTTGATGATCCTTCCCCTCTGTGGAGCCTGAATTCCACTAAAGAGCTAATGACAATTACTGGAATGTCTATCACTTGCTATAAATAAACGCCCTATTAGACTACATAACTGGTCGAAACTTTCTCAAATGAAGGCGAACAATAAATGCGCATTAATTGTCAAAGAAAAGGATTTTCTGCAGACGAACACCTATCACGAATATAATCATTTTCAAAATTCGCAACAACTCCTGAAATTTATTTTAGATCAATGAACTATGTTGCTCTCGGCACAATTTCCCTACCTCGGAAGCTTCTGTTTGTACTCCACCAAAGTTATTTATACTTTCATTTAACTCTAACAGAGAAACAGTCCATGAATTGTACTAATATGCAAATAAATAACATTATCTCTATTGACCATTTGAAATGAAACCCTGGAGAAGCGATTATAATGGAATCGAAATGTTTGCCATGTTTGGTGAATTTCTGAGCGAATATTGCTTAAAATCATTTGGACTTGCCGTCAAACTTAATCAGTTGAGTTTTCTAGACTAAAAGTGCTTGAAATTACATAAGGCTAGCAAAAACCTCAGTCTCAGATTTCTCAAATGATTGAAAAATGAATGAGTAAAAAGATGGAAATAGAATTTTCTACACACTTGCTCAAAATCAAATCTGGCAATTTTCATGGCTAGTTACATAAAATGCTACATTATTTTAATGCTTAAGAGTAACCACGTGGACAAAGATACTGTCTTGTATAACATGTGTTTCTCGCATATTAATCGATAATCCCGTGTTAAACCTATATCTTGTCTCATTCTAATATAACAATACAGTCCTCTGTTCAAAAATGAGTAAAGTATGTGATTTTCGGCTTCTAATAATTTAATTTTACTTTTAATTTCAATTTAATCCTTAACTTACTGATATAGTGAGTTTTTTTCATTTTAAAAATCCTTAATAAATCGTTTTAGAGTGCAGTACGTGAAGTGATATGTATTCACATCGGCCAAGCTGGAGTTCAGATGGGAAACGCCTGTTGGGAACTCTTTGGTCTTGAGCATGGCATTCGTCCAGAAGGTGTGTATTATCACGGTTTTCATCCAATTGACAACTCCTTTCTTACGTTCTACAACGAAACCGGTCATGGAAAATTCGTGCCTAGATCAATTTTTGTCGACCTGGAACCCACTGTTATCGGTATATTAATTACCTCTACTTGTTAAATTTCAGTAGCGTAGGTTTCATACATGCACGTCTTTCTTTTAGACGAAATTCGCACTGGTTTCTATAGACAACTATTTCATCCTAATAGCTTGATAACCGGAAAAGAGGATGCAGCTAACAATTTTGCTAGAGGTTTTTATTCAATTGGTGAAACAATGTCCGCGATTACCCTGGACGAGATCCGCAAAATTGCCGATACTTGTGAAATGCTTCAGGGTTTCCTGATTTTTCATTCTCTTGGGGGAGGAACCGGGTCTGGATTTTGCTCCCTTTTAATGCAGCGTCTCTCAGAAGACTATTCAAAGCGAACTAAAATCGAAATGTGCGCATATCCGGCTCCTAGGTTAGCTTCTTCTCCTCTAGAACCTTACAATGCAGTTTTAACAACTCACGCTTGTATTGAGCATTCCGATGTTTGTTTCCTGATGGACAATGAAGCTGTGTGGGATATCTGCCGTCGAAATCTTGATATTAGGCGCCCAACATTTACTAATATAAATCGAATTCTTGCTCAAGTGATCTCTTCATTAACAGCAGCGCTAAGATTTGATGGTCAATTGAACGGAGACTTATCCGAATTCCAAACCAATCTAGTCCCTTACCCAAGAATTCACTTCCCACTAGTAACATTTGCTCCAATCGTCGCTGCAGAAAAGGCCTCACATGAGGCTAATACGGTTGAACAGATAACCAAAGCCTGTTTCGAACCTGCAAATTCATTTGTGAAAGTTGATCCAAGATTAGGGAAATACATGTCAGTTTGTCTTTTATATCGTGGAGACGTAGATCCAGCTACAGTAAATTCTGTCGTATCATCAGTTAAATCGTCAAAATCGATTCGGTTTGTTGATTGGAGTCCGACAGGCTTCAAAGTTGATATCAATAATCAACCAACATTATCGGTTCCTGGAAGTGAGTTAGCCAGGGTGATGAGATCTTGCTGTATGCTTGCAAATAGTACTGTGGTAGGAGAGGCTTTCGTAAGAATTGATAGGAAATTTGATATCATGTTTAAGAAACACTGTTTCGTTCATTGGTATGTTGGTGAAGGAATGGAAGAAGAAAATTTCATCATTTCACGACAAGATCTTGCAGCGCTTGAACAAGACTATAAAGAAGTTGGATACGATACGCTTACATGAAATCCTTTAAAAATAACCCAATTCAGGTTTCAATTTATTTGACCTTTTGCGTTGTACCAATGTATTTTTTGAATTTCTCAAATTGTTTACAATTAATTTCCAGATTCGACGTCTGTACTTTCCTTTAAAATTAAAATATAAATTCGAAGACAAATGGTTTAATTTTATGGCTAAAGATTGTTTGTCTCTGGTTTTCTGGTTTCAGTCCTTGGAGCTAATCTTTTGCCAAATCTGCTTAAGTTTTCAATAGATCAAAAATACTCATTTATACAAACGTGGCCACTCTTATTTAAATAAATCCAGATCAGTTAGAAAATATTGGTTGGTTTGGCATTGAGTAAAATCTACTTACATTAAAGGTAGTCTATGCTTGTTAGTTAAAAGTGAAGGAGTCCCACTGCAGAAGTCCAATTCTAAGGAATAATGATAAGAATACAAGACAATGTGAACATCGTCGACTAGACAAGAATTCTGCATTCAAAAAAACTTGAACTCTATTACCTTTGAACTTGTGTGTCTGAAATAAAAGCATGTGGGTTGGAGGCTAAGACTAAATCACTTTACCTCATACTACTATTGTCATTCAAAACTATCATCTCATTAAAACAAACAAATAGTTGTCGCTTCTCCACTTACTTTAGTAAAATAAAAATCGTAATCTATTTCCTAAAGAAATCGCGCTTATTTATTTGTTAATGGTTAGGAAAGAAATTACTTCCTAAGGTGTGCGGTCTACACACGGCAATATTAAAAAAGGATATATTTTTTCCACCAAACACTTCTTTTTATAGTGAATTAATCTGTTTCCAACTCACTACTTAATGTCAGCTACTCTCAAACTGCAACTCTATCGACCAGAATCCACCTAATGTATCTTCAACTCTCACACCTTATTCCCCTCAACCCTCCTCCCATCAGCATACTATCTCAGTCTGTTACTTTTTACAGAAGTTACATTCATTCTGTTGACGTTAGTCCTAACTGACTACTGAATATTTCACAACGAGAATATTAGTAATAAATAACAATGTATGCTTGACAAATTAAAGAAAACTAACAATATTCTGATCCTAACACTAAATATCCTGAAGAGACAGAATCCCAATTCAAATATGACCCTATATATCATATTTATGGATGAGTAATTTAAGTAACTATTATGAGAACACGTTTCCTGACTAAGAACTAATTATATTTGTATTCGGAGTGGAGTTTTAAATAACTTATTTATCGATATTTGATATAGATTCATCTTCATCAGTCATATTAACGAGTTCCTCACTTTCTTGTCGTAATCTGTGCTCAACTCCCCATCGTAGCTCCTTTGACTTTTCCGTATATTCTACAGAAAGAACGTCTGTTTCTACTGATGTGTCTTCCTCATTTCTTTCCTCTCTATGTGCTGACCTAGGTCCTTCGTAGTGCAAATGAACAGAATTAATCTTTTCTGATAAGGAACAATTAATCGAGATGGTTATCTTGTCTTGCTGATTTTCAAGATGAGGGTGGCCAATTGGACTCATTTGTCGAGGAGTTTGTGAATTTACTGGTAGAATCGTCAAATTTGACTTCCCGGGAGAAGAATCATGGGGTTTATCGTTATCTAAATCATGGTTATCGGCACAATCTAGATTAGGAGCAGAATTATCCTTTTCAGAATCTGGTGTGGTTACAAGTTCATTAATACCGCCACTTTCGGTAGAACCATGAAGTTCAGAGGTACAATTCATTTCAGGAACATTTTCTGGTTGATCAGGCTCTGAATCACATTGTTCCGAAGGTTCATTAATAAGATTCTGACATTCTTCAAGACTTTGTGGTTTAGAAAGATTGTCTTCATCTTCATCGCAATCTCGTTTCGAAGATGCTTTAGAAGACTCAATACAGCTTTCGGATTTATTAGGAACATTTTCTGGTTGATCAGGCTCTGAATCGCATTGTTCCGAAAGTTCATTAATAAGCTTCTGACATTCCTCAAGACTTAGTTGTTTAGGAACATTGTCTTCATCTTCATCGCAGTCT